TTTTTTTTTTTTTTTTTTTTTTTAAAACCACAGTCAAACGGGCTGATGCTTAGATTCTTTAGGCAGGGGTGAGGTTGAAATGGCTGATTCTCAAGGGCTGGCAAACCACGCTTCCTGAGGATCTGAGGGAGCATACCAATGAAATGGCAGGTGAGTATCCTGTAGGAAGACTTTCCTGAAGAGCTAGCGCTGCCGGGAGCTGCAGGGAAGCCCAGGAAGGCGGCTGGACTGGGCCACCTTGTCCTCTGTTCAGACCTGATCTGTTCCCCCCACCCAGCTAACCTGCATCCCCTGGGGATGCCATTGTCCATGGTGGCACTGGTGCCAAGAGCCACCTGTGTCTATAGAGCAGGGGCCTTCCTCTGCCAAATGGGGGTGGAAACAGTTTCTGAACATGGGTGCAGATTTCAGCTGCGGTGCTGCTTCCGTCACCTGGAGTGTTTCCTGCTGAAGGAGGGTTTGGATGAATTGGCTGGGGCAGGGTACGGGCTCCTGCAGGGACCGTGTCCTGCCTTGTGCTCCTCTGCTTCTGCTTTTCCTGGTAGTAACTTCCTTGTCTGGGGCTTGTTTGCTTGAGCTGCTCTGTCATCCAGTGATATGGGACTGCACTTCCTGCCCAATGCTTGTCCTCATCCTTGCAGAGTCCCTCTGGACCAACCCCAGCTGTGTCCCCCAGCTGTCCCGCTGCCTGCCGGCCACAGCAGATGCTCAGGCTTTTAGGGAAATAAGACTCAGGGAAAGGAACTCACAGCTTGGGTCTTTGGGTCAGCGTGGGCAAGGCAAATGACTCCCATTTGCATTTGGGCCTCCCACTGTGACACCAGGTGTGTTTTGAAGCTGGCAGCTCTTGCAGCAGCATTACACTGCATTGCTGCTGGTCTGATGGGAGTGACTGCCTCCTGGAGTAGGCAAAGCAGCGGGCAGGAGCAGGCTCTGAGGAGCCCAGAGTTTTAAACCACTAAGAGGCTCTTCAGAGTACTCAGGTGTCTTTTTTCCTTCCTGTAGGTTGTCGCCAGTATACGAACAGGAGCTGTGAGGAATGTCTGAAAAATGTCACTGTAAGTAGCAGCAGTAAAACTCCCAACGTCTCACGATGCCTGAAAACATAGCGTGAGCTTTGTGGGGCTGTTACGGAGCAGTTTCCCTCCTGGAAGGGGGGCTGCTCCCCTGCCCTTGTCCTGAACACACTGCAAATGCCACCCACCCATGACGGTGAGGGGGCAAACACCCCTTGGTGCTCTGGGAAGAGGTTGCTAGAAACTGCTTGGGTTTTGTTGTATGCTTTTCGAGTCGAGTAATGGAGCTCCTCCTCATGGATGGGAGACGCGCACAGTGAAGGAGCTGAGAGGGCTGGACTGGCTGGTCAAGCTGCCCCTCCACCAGTCTGTGGGTGCCATGGCACTGGGTGGATGCAGGGTGCGTACCTGGGTCCTGCCAACCTCCACTGCCTTATCTCTGATATCAGCAAACTTGAACTTGAGTGTGATCTCACAGCTGACAGCCATAACCAGTTTGACCAAACCCAGCCGAATGCTGGCGTTGGGGGTTGGAGCCACCAGGAGAGGAGGGTGCAAAGCTGCTGCAGGTAGTCTGGCTGGGAAAGACTAGTGAGGGCACACACAGACCTCTCCTGCTCATCAGCTCTGTGTTGAGTGGCTTGTCTCAAAGGCTTTCTTCTTGTCCCAAAAATGCTGCATGGAATAAACAGGAAGGATTTGGTGATTACTACCATCATGCAAGCCAGGAGAAGGGTTCTCAGCATCTTTACTTGCTCTAGAAATCTACACTCCCGTCGCCTGCCTCTCCTGGTGCAGGCAAGCCTGATCAGCCCGTGCTGACTGAACACAACTAATACATCCCGTTGCTGCTGGGTGGTACCTGGCCCTTGGGAGCAGGCAGTGGTGGCCCTGTTGCTGTGGCTAACAAAGCAGAGCATGGCTAACTGGCAGCACTGTCGTGCACCAGTAACACTGTGCTGCCTGGTTCCTGTGTCCCAGTGCCTGTGGTGTGCCAGCAGTGGGAGGTGCGTGGAGTACCCTGTCCGAAGAGTCCTCCCCCCGGCTGACCTCTGTGAGCTCCGCTCTGCGCGCTGGGGAGTCTGCTGGGGTAAGTGGATCACACTCAAGCGATGACTGCATTTAGTGCTTGCTGCTAAATGGCACTGACTGCCGCTTGCGCTAGTGATATTGGGAGGTTTCCCTTGCCTCCCTTTCTCACTGCTGGTGTAGCAATGACATGCTGAAGTCAATCAGGGTTCTCCAAACTTCCTGAAGTGTGGGCGAGAAAGCAGAGCGTGAGCAGTCCCTGCCTTCTGGCAAGAAGGACCTTTGGGGCTTTAGCTATTCTAAATACATGCCTCATGCTTTGATGTGATGGAGGCTTCCACATGTGGCCAGCACCTAGGATCGAGAGTTGAAGGTGCTCTGTGGGCAGCTGCCCATCCAAACCTTCCCAGTGCTCAAAGTGTGCACGCCAGTGTCTGACTCTTCGGCAGCACTTTCCTCTGCACGCTGTGCATCATTCCTTGCACGGCTTCTGGCTCTTCACCTTCAGCGGTGTGGCTGCTGTCCCAGGCAGGCTCTTAAAATTCACGGGGGCTCTTGGAACTAGAAGTGAGGTAACTTCTCTGGAGGCCTGCGCGGGCTTCTAGTGCTGAGCATGCTGTGGTCCTGCTCAGCTCTTATCCACCTGAGAAAATACCCTCTTCCAAAACTAGCTCTGCATAAGCTGTACTGCGGCCAGGTCACCTCTGGGAGCTTTTTCTGGCTGACAGCTGACTGTTGGCTGCCTTTCCTCCTTGGTTCTCTGTTTCCGGGTGGGTTTCTGGAGAAATTAGTGTCTTGTTTAGACCAAGCTTGGTGCATGCTCATGCTCAGACAGGACCCAGCTTTTGGGGGCTGGGGCGCTAGGAAGCAAGCTGGGGCTTGATTTCTCTCACCTGTCCCCTTGATGGGGAACTTGGAGTTGAATTGTGGTCACCTGACATCTACTGTGCTTGAGGGTGGGCTCTCTACCCACAAGAGAGTTAAAACTGCTCCCATTCCTTGTGGAGAAAGAATCTCCTCTTTGTGAGCACTACAGTATGCTTTTCTGAAACTTGTGTAAGACCTTGAAATACTAGTTTGTATGTGAGTAGCTTCACAAAAGGTTTCATTATAGAAGAACACATTCCTTAGCTTGCAAAACTCGCTTTAGAGGAGATTAGTCCTGTGGGAGATTAGCTCTTAAATGAGTCTGCATTTTTGGTGTGTGTGACTTAAGCCTTTATCATCAGGTGGAGGAGTGCCTGGTGCTCTGTCATGGATCTCTCTGTGGGAAGGGGTGATCTGAACCCCAGGCTCACCCTGAAAGCCGATGTTTCAGAAGCACCAATACAGACGTGCTGGTGGAGAAACTCCTTTTTGAGCTGAAGAGCCTGTTTGGGTTTGTCTCACCCCCACTGGGCTGACTTCTCATCCTTGGCTGTTAGGCTGTCCCCTACATGACTCCGTGGGTCTGTCGCAGTGCAGTCAGCAAAAGCTTCACATTGCTCCGAGGCAAGACAGTGCCGTGGACAGTCAGGTCTCAAATACCATCTTTCTCAAAGCCTTACTGGGAACATGGACCTGCAGGCCTCCCTGCTGCTGGGTGACTGCTGGAGAGGCTGCGTGAGCCTACCTGTGGGGACAAACGCAAATGTCCGCAAGCTGGTGGCTTGCTGAATTCTAGTCTCACTGGTGACCTGCTAGGCCATAGCAGCTATCTGTGGTTGGTATCTGGAACCACATTCCTTGCATGGTGCTTGCAATGATAGCCTGGGTAGGGACACAGGATGATTTGAGAGTCAGATGGCACAGTTGTTGGCAGTGATGAAGCTCTCCACTGGGAGCAGGAGCTGGAGGCTTTGAAAGCAACTTCAGCAGTGGAGTCAGCTCAGCCTGGAGCACCCCAGTTAGCTTGCTACCACTGAGTCCCTGCAGCGAGGGGACAGGCAGGCATCTTCTGAAATGCCCTGAAATGCACCACGTGTGGTGCTCAGGCTTTCCACTGGGCTCACAGTCCGAGCTGCATGGAGAAGAGGGGATCAGAAGTGCTCTGAGAAGGCTCAGGTGCACTAGGATTTCTGTAACTTGGCTGCTGTGTGTGAAGTGGCTCCTAAACAAGTATTTCCACAGGTCCAAGTCTCTGAACAGTCTGAATCACTCTTGGAAGAAATCCCTTTTTGTTGCAAAGGGTTTCAGGTGATGTCTAGATATGTCCATTTTGGCTGGTGTCTCTACTGCTATTACTGCAGGAGCAGAGTAGGATGACTGCCTCCCTGGGGCCAGGGCTCAAGGCTGCTGCTTCACTACCATGTCCCAGTGGGTTTTATGGGCATGGGCAAACAGATCCCCCAAGCCCTGGGGAGACATGATGGTGGGGTGCATGAAGCAGCCCTCCGCCTTCAGCTGCTTCAGCAGCACTGCTGGTCCCAAGCTGATAAATCCCAATGGATCTTGTCTCACTTTGTCTCTTGCCCAAGGACTCCAGACACCCATAAGTGCCTCCAGTCCACTGTCATCTTATCTTAGATGACTTCTGAAGCTGGCTCCTGTGGGCAATAACTCCAGTGCCAGCTGTGGCCTCTGTTGGAGGTTGCTCCTCAGCGCTGAAGCCTCCAGGTTTTTTTTCCCTTGATGGGTTACTGTTCACCTGGATTAGTGATAAAGGTAGCTTTGCTCCTGTTTCTGCCGGAGGAGTTTGACCTGAGTGCATTTGGTTTTGCCTTTTTTCATAGCCAGTAACTGAGTGCTATATTTAGCAGCTACATATACTCAGTTGGTGTGTACGTGCTGATGCCAACGCTTGGTATACCTATAGGTAACGATGTCCATCTTGCTTTTCCAGGCTGTTATGCATGGCTCCAGCCCAGTGACTGAAGCTGCTGGTGACAGTAGCTGTATACTTGTAAATATTGTAACTCCAGGCAGCCATGTATTTGTGTGCTAAATGTGTTTTGTCAAATCCTTTAGTGAACTTTGAAGCCCTGATCATTGCGATGTCTGTGGTGGGAGGAACAATCCTTATCATGTTGGGGGTCTGCTGCTGCTGCTGTTGTAAGAAAAAGAGCAAAAAGTAAGTATCAGAGGGGTTCGCTGTTTTCTCGGAGTAGCTCACATGTAACCACATGCTGTTGCAGAACTGAGTGCTGAGTGCCACTAATGGGCTCTTCTGTCTGTCAGGCCAGACAAGGATGATGAGAGAGCAGCCAGGGAGCGGGAGAAGAGGCGGGTGCGGCAGGAGGAGAGGTGAGGTCGCCCTGCAGCCCCTGCTCCTCTGAGTGAGCCACACTGCCTCAGGCTGCAGAATGATTTGGCTCCTGTCTGTACTGTCAAAACGTGATGCCACGAGGCATGTGGGGCTTGACATGTGCAGTCAGTGGCTGCTTCAACCTTGGCATGAACATAAACCTTGTGAGCAACGTCTTTCTGGGGTGACTCATGGATGCAGTATCACAACGGTGTTGTGTTTCTGACTCCCTGAGGGCTGCTGACATGTGTGGGCTCTGGTGGTCCCCAGTGCCTCCAGGAGGTGTGAGAGAGCACCAGGGAGCGGGAGAAGAGGCGGGTGCGGCAGGAGGAGAGGTGAGGTCGCCCTGCAGCCCCTGCTCCTCTGAGTGAGCCACACTGCCTCAGGCTGCAGAATGATTTGGCTCCTGTCTGTACTGTCAAAACGTGATGCCACGAGGCATGTGGGGCTTGACATGTGCAGTCAGTGGCTGCTTCAACCTTGGCATGAACATAAACCTTGTGAGCAACGTCTTTCTGGGGTGACTCATGGATGCAGTATCACAACGGTGTTGTGTTTCTGACTCCCTGAGGGCTGCTGACATGTGTGGGCTCTGGTGGTCCCCAGTGCCTCCAGGAGGTGGGGAGGTGGCTGGCGGGGGGCTGAGCAAATCTGGCAGCCTGGAGGTCCCTGGGTTGGGAAGAAGCAAGAAGCTGTAGCTCCTCTTGCTTGGTTTTGTATCGCCAGTCACTGACTTGTGGTTTTTCTGTTTGCTTCTTGCAGGAGAGCAGAGATGAAATCACGGCATGATGAAATCCGAAGAAAATATGGTACAGTGCTGACGCAAGTGATTCAAACTAAGCTTTAGATCGAGCAGCCTCAGTAACTGTGTTCCTTGCTATGGTTACAGCTGCAGAGGAGACCTAGCCAGCAGGGAAAACACAGTCTCTGCTTCCCCTGTCTCAGTGAATTGCTCTCTTGCCCTCTGGGAGCAAGAGTAGAGATGCTCAGTGTGTGACCCCACACAAGTGCTGCTCCTCTTGGGCAGGGAAAAGGGAGTGTTTAACACTCCCCGGGACCTGTGTTCTCCAAACTCACCACATTGGAGAAGCTGCTAGGGCTTCACTGGAGGGGAGATGCAGAAGCTGGTAGACACAGCACCAGACGTAATGCTGCTGCCCTTCAGGCATGGCCCTCCGGCAGCCCTATGGTCACAGAGTGGCCAACAGCCTGGGGTGGGGGGCCAGGTGGGAGCCCGGGTGCCCACAGCTGCAGGAGCACAGAGCAGGCACCAGCCCGACCACAGAGCTGGTCCTCTGTGCTGGCCAGCAGTTCCCAGAGAGGTGGCTCAGTCCCCTGAGTTCTGGGAGTGCACAGCTTCCCTCCTGGGGCTGTCCTGTCCTTCAGGTAAGTCCCATGGTCCTAGGGCAGGTGGGGACCTACCTGAGAGGGACAGCAGCCTGGGAAGAAGGGGGTGAGCAGCCAGTTGCTCAGAACTGGTGGAGGGGACTCTCCTGCCTGGCTGTCAGGGCTGCCAGGGGCTCTCCCAGGGTGGCTGTGGAGCAGGGAGCAGTTGGGCTCATGCACACTGAGCATAGTGGTCTCTGGCTTTAGGTGGGGCTGTAGGGAAAGCTGGAGATCTCTCCTCTGCCTGCAGCTGCTGCCCACTGCAGGTCCAGGTGGGGCAGGAGATCTGGGGGTCTCTGGCTGGGCTGGCTCCTGTCGGGGAGGAAGAGCGGGCAAAGCTGTGCCTGAAGGAGCACTTGGTGGGGGAAGCACTTTGTGGAAGTGGAAGAGCTGTGCTCCAGGACTGACTTGCCATGCCAGGGCTCTGTCTCGCTGCAGCCTGACTGCAGAGTTTGCAATATCATCCTTTCTGGCTGTTCCTCCTCAAAAGTGTTGGGCTGGGGCTGGGAAAGCAGTCAAGAGAGTGGCATGGGGGCTTGTCACTGGCCCAGAAGTCAGCCCTGTATCCTTGCTCTGCTGTCTCTCAGTCTGTGGATGCAGGAGCAGGTCTAAGAATGGCTTGAATTTAATTTGGGGCTCTCTGCTTCTGAGTCCAGTCCAACAGAAGGAGCGTGCAGAAGGGGTGCTCTGGAAGATCAGTCATGCTGCTTTACCTGGACTTTATATGGTGTGCCTGGGAGAGGAGTTTGCCATCAGGTCAAGCTTCTTAATGGATCTCTCCTCCTGTGTAGAGGAGGAGAGTGAAATAGTGCTGACTGCATGCACGGCTCGAGTAAGAGCAGGTCTTTCGGAAGGACTGCAGGACAGGAGGCTGGATGAAGCATGAATGACAAAGAGCTGTAACCAAGAACTAGGTTTCTTGCTGGCTGTGACTGGCATGGCTGCTGCTGTCTGAATTAATCTATCTCTTCTTCTAGGCCTGTTTAAGGAAGAGAACCCTTATGCAAAATTTGAGAATTAGCACCTCCGGACCTGCCCATCCCAGTGAACAGTGCCTTCCCGCAGAGCCGCAGGACTCCACGCTTCCCCTGCCACAAGGAGACCACAGTGGTGCCACTTCCCGCTTCAGCTGCCACAGAAGATGAGCCAAATGCTTGGTGACACTATTGTCTCCACTCCAGATGCTCAGTTTGCTCCAGAGCTTTGCTCTTGCTCTGCTGATGCAGGAAAACATGGTGGCAATACCAGAGAACAGGTTTCTCCTCACTCACCCTGGGGTGGTAATGGAGTCCAAAGCAATGCAAATAACAGCCCTTGTCTCTGGCCAAGGGCAAAAGCAACCTTATGCATCTTTCTTGCTCCTGCCTCACCAAATACCCTTCACACACACAGAGCCAGGCTCTTTTGTCCACCCCCTTCTTTCTTTTTTTTTCTTTTAGTATAGGCAGAAGCCAGCAAGAGTTTCTTGACTTGTCAGTCAGCAGGAGGCCTTGGCTGTTACTCCAGGTGCCTGTACTTGTCCCAGCACATTAGCATTCCTTTCAAAAAGCACAAGTTTCTGGTTATCTCGGGCCTCCAGGAGGAAGGTCCCATGTGCATGTTCTCACTTGCAACTAATCTGGGGAAATGCCCCAACTCTCCTACCTCTGTGCCTTTCCAGAAAGGTGGTCTCCTGGGCTTGATGGCCACAGCTGATAGCAATACTGAATGATTCAGATGCCTTTACAAAATGTTGACTCTATATTAAACTGATGTGATTACTATCCCAGTCTGAAAGAGTTTAATTCTGCTTCCACATCAGGTATGGGTTGGCAGTGATGGCTGATGGAGTTGTCACTGTTACATGGCCCTCATGGCCCCGGCTTGTCAGGCTCTGATGGGGTGGCTGAGTGAGGCAGAAGCAAGGCTGCCTTGAACTCTGCTGGGCTTGAAAGGGGGAGTCTGCTCATGGAGATGTTCAGTTGTTAGGAAAAGCTGGGTGGTGGGAGTAACACTGCTCTCTAACAAAGGAGCTGGGTCTTTCCGCAAGAGCTTGGCCTGTGTCCCCTAGCACCCCTGAGAGCCCTTGTCTAAGTGGGGTGGCCTGGGGGCTCCTGGAAGTGTTGGCCACAGACTAAACCCTGTGCTGTGCTACCTGTGTAAGGGACCCAGGGGTGGGGAAATGAGGATGGGAGCTGACTGCTCTTATGTAGTCCTATACTTGACCAAAATTGGCTTTGCAGCATGAAGGAGCCTCACATGCAAGCAATACATCTACCTTGATAGTTTTGTCTAAGAAAAGCTGGCTATTGCCTTCTTCCACGTGGGGTGACTTGCTCTGGGCTGCAGATGGTAGCATTTCTGTGGGCTTGCATAAAATGCTCTATTTGCATTGCCAGGCTTATGGCCCTCAGACACAAACTGCTCGAGCTGAACTTCTGAAGCTAAACCAGCTGTGAAAACTTACTGCTGCTGCCTGAGTTGTGTGCTGGCCAGAACCTGTCTGGCTGTTGCCAGGATAGTGAGAGATGCAAGACTTTTAATCTAGGCTATCTCTGGCTGCTGCCAGAAGATACTTGGCTTCAGGTGGTAGGAACAAAGTGAATGACGCTGTCAATGCTGAATAAGCACCTGGTCTGTAACCTGGGCTCCTGTAAGTGTGAACTAGGCTGCAGTGATGGGATGAGGGCTGAAAAACTAGGGTTGGGTTGCCAAGCTCTCATGGGTGCTCTCCCATCTTCTCTCCTAGTCTGTTGGACTGGCTGGGCAGGGGCTGCATCCTCGTGCTGCTGGTCAAGAGCTGTGGGAGGTGGAGACAGCATATTATCTGGCTGTGCATGGCTGGGAGATGATGCTTTAAAGAAATCCCCAAAGCCCTGCATTTGATTTGGAGTTCCTTGCACAAAGTGCCCTGTGCGCATGGAAAAGGAAGCATGGAGCCCTGTCCTGGCAGTGGGACAGCAACAGGCGTAGTTGGCTCTGCTACCCACCAAAGACCAGTGAAGATCCATCATGGCTGCAGAGGGTCCGGGAGGAAGATCCGGGCTCAGGGGACCATGCGAACTGCCTCCCCGGCTCACATTCTGAGAGTGGCGGCCAGGCCCCCTGGAGTCCCTCTGAAATAAAAGCACTGGGGATGCTGAGAGGGGCCAGGCCTGGTTTTCTTCCACCCGGTTTGCCCGTCCCTTTGAGAATGCACCCCTGGAAGGGGAAGGGAAAGGGAATCCCCAGCTGCTCTGTGATGTGA